GCATATTTTGACTAGCAGGAAGATGGCAATTCCTAGGCTAGCAGAAGGCTTGGAAACATTCTCAACCCCTGGTAGATTTCATCGTCGTCACGTGAGCCGAGCATGCGAATCCTGCAGACAGAGAAAGACAAAGTGCACAGGGGATAAGTCTGGTTGTCGCAACTGCCGTGAGGCTGGCATCATCTGCTGCTACACAGATGGTAAAAGGGAGAAATCCAAGAGGTGTGTTTTCATCTGACTAGCTAGATCCTCAACTGATTTTAGAGGAATTGGTACACCAAGGCAATTGGCTAGTTTGGAGGCCAAAATACGGACTTACGAAGACGCTTTGAAGAACCTGAGCAACAGATTTGGGCTTACGAATGAGCAGCTGATGAACCTGGCATTGACAGTGGTACAGACACAGACTCCTCGCATCTCTTTAGCCTTAGCCATATCTCTTGTTCCGATCGAGCCCGCTATTTCCACTTCGCTCTGTCTACTCCAAGATTTATACTGACTAGAAGTAGGAGGAGTCTTCCAGTCCTGCCCTGTCCCCTGATGGGCAAACACCCTTCCTCGGAAATCAAAGACCTCTTTCAACTCCCAACTCCCAGTTGCCACCATTCGTTGACTCCAGCCACTGCGTTGATTGTATCAGTGAAGACTTCAATAAGGACGAAGTTTCCCAGGCTACGGGCTACATTGGCCAAAGCTCCGAAATTGCGTGGATACATTCATTAGGCCGAGATGTCAACGATGGGACTGGATGTGGGACTCCTAAAGAATCTATATCGCTGCAAAACTCTGATGATAGTCTTATATCCGCTTCGAATTACCATGTTGATGATCAAGAGCTACCAAGTATCGAGCGACAAGAGCCTTATGCACTGCCGTCGAAGGATATAGCTTCAAAGCTCTATAACTGCTATTTGGACCGGGTGCATCCTTCTTTTCCAATCATTGGAACCACGCCATTCGGAGCACAGTTCCGTGCATTCTTCAACAATGCCAATTTACGCCCAGGAAACAAGTGGCTCGCAGTCTTGAACGTAGTCTTTGCAATCGCTGCTAGGTATGCTTATATCTCTGACGCAGAATGGCAATTGAACAAGAATAATCACTGGCTGTATTTCTCAAGAGCAACGGTCTTGAGTATGGATAACGGGGGTTTTCACCATCCTGACCTACAGCAACTACAAGTGGAAGGGCTAACAGCTTTGTACATGCTTTCTCTGGGGCATATCAACCGGTACGTACATCTATGTCCGTATATACAAGTCACCTATACATGCCAGTGCTTACGAATGATTCAAGTGCTTGGAGAATTTGTGGGGGTGCTGTTCGTGGAGCCCTTGGTCTTGGATTGCATCTGCGCAACATGAGCAAGTCGGCTTCGGATACTTCCAGGGAGATCCGATATCGCGTATGGTGGTCCCTTTACATGCTTGATCACCGACTTAGCATGGTCACAGGACGGCCGTCTTTCATAGATGATACTATATATACAATACCCCTGCCTGTTCCAGTTGACGAAGAGAATTTCGAAAGGGATGAAGTGATAAACTGTCTCCGTCTATCACACGGGACTGAAGGCAACAGTTTGAATTTTGATCTGAAGGCCAAACACTCGATAGCTACCCCAAAGGCTACAGGCGCAACTGCCAGTCCTCCTTGTGGATCATTGCACTTCCTTCATGTCATTCTGCTCACGCTGATATCAAAGAAAATGACAACCAAGCTCTACAGTCCCGGAGCAGCGCGCACATCTTGGATAGGGATAGAGTTTGCCATACAAGGTCTCACTTCTGACATCGAATCTTGGCTTTTGAGTCTTCCTAAAGATTATGATTTTACATCAACACAGTCCTCACAGGTCACTCATTCGATATCTACCCACCGGATGAGCCTGGCATTTTTATTCTATAGCACCAAAATTGGCATAACACGGCCATGCCTTCGCCGTCCTAATCCTGCGGAGCAGGAAGGCAAGGTTTCGGATGAGAAAATGCTGGATTTCTGTCACAGAACAGCAGCTGAGTGCGTGGAATCGGCTTGCCATATGCTGAGGCTATTTCCCGAAGGACTAGATGCTGCTTCACTGTACAGAATGTCACCGTGGTGGTGTATACTGCATTTCCTTGTTCAAGCAACCACAGTTCTTTTAATAGAGCTGTCTTTTGGAGTTTGTCACGTTCCAGAGAAAGCTTCGATGGTTTCTAAGGCGACTGAAAGAGCCCTTCAATGGCTTGCTATACTAGCAAAGACCAACGCAGCCTCAGAGAAAGCTCGCTTACTATGCCAATGCCTCCTACGCCGTATCGAACAATATGCAGGAGTGAATTTACCTATTCACCCTATCCCAAGTGATGTCGGCATTTCTGTTCCGCCTGGACCTAGACCAACCGGACTTTCGCCTACTCCAGACCCGCGCCCCAGTGAATTTGGAAGCGGCCCTTCACCTTTTTTTGGCTCGTCAAATTCTCTGGAAGCCCATGTGAAGTGCCATCCTTCTCCAGAAAGTCCTAGTCTGATGCAAACGGACAAAGACACCAACGCTCAGGATACTTACGATGAGGGCCTTCCTTATGATCCAAGCACAGGGCAGATTATAGGGTCTTTCTTCCCACCTAATCTAAGTCTCGGCTTGGAAATAAGTGATTATTTCTTGGAGGAAGTGTGACACCTGTCTGCACCTCGTGATCAGGAATGTAATCAAAGGGCTGCCCTATATCAGGCCTCCCAGACGGTCTCCTAGTCTTGCTGTGAAATTTCGAGCATCGCGGCCCTGTCCCTATATAGAGCCGTGATGGGCACCCAGATTGCAATGAATGTCTCTCTTCACGGTGTTGACATAAATGTACTATTATAAGAACCGAAGTCTTTGACTTAGTTCCACCACCCTTAAATTCAATTGGTGCTAAATGCTTTGGTCTATCGAATCATCTAATTTCCACCAAGGGCTTTCTCATTCAGCCAGCCGTCATAACTGCCAAACTGATCCAGCTTATACCTCCCCGCGTTAAGATGGAATAGAGGATACCCATTGATAAACTCGTTGACTGTCTTTAGCAGTCTCGAATTTCCCTCACATGCAGCACGCAGTCTCCGGATACTACCCAAGCACTGATCCACTCTCTCCTGGAAAACCTCATACTCAGAAATCCCCCTGCAAACAGAAGTCTGCCTGATCCACGTCCCTGGTTCATTTCCCCAAACAGACTCCTTATAAAAAGACAACACATCATTCAACTGCTCAATAATCCCCGCTATATCAGGGATCAACGTAAAGTAATCCCTCAGCTTCCAGTCACTCTCGCTGAAATAGAAAAACGCATAAGCTTCCCCAATACCACTTTTCCGTCGCAAGAAGTCCGGAAACAACTTGGTAGAAGGAGAGACCACGAAATCACCCGTCCGCTCTGCCTCCACGATATTGATGCTCAAAAAGTCCATGGTTGACTTGAAGATCATGTCGCCAGCATACCATTCATAGTGACTAACTATATCGTGAAGGGTGTTGTATAGTCCCTTGATATATTGCAGATTGGTGCTGGATTTGCCAAGAAAGACGGAGCGATAGGGTTTAAGCTGCTCGCGGAATTCGAGGTCTGCGCATTGGTCGTCGATCGAGAAGACGTATGCTGTTAGGACTCCTATGGAAATCTTTAGATCTCGGGGAAGACTGGGGTAGAAGCATCGTGTTAGGACTTCTCCTGTGTCGACGAAGTGGGGGATGGTGTCTTCTGGGAGGCCGGAAGCGGCTGCGAATTTCTTGAAGGCTTCGTTTTTGAAGGCTTCGTCGGGCGCAAAGGGTGGGAGGTTGGGGTAGATTTCGTTCAAGAAGGGTGTGATAATTTTAAGGAATTCATCGGGTGATACTGAGGGTTGGGCTTTTGTCATTGTTGCAGTGCGGTGCTGATAACCATGGAGTTGTGGGTTGTACTAATAGGTGTTGGGAAGCTATTTAGATATAGTCCAGTATGTCTGCCTTTCCTAACACTGTACTAATGGGGTCTTTCGCAAGGAGGAGTTCCCTACGTCATGAGGTTGTCATATCGGAGTTATCGCGCATTCTGTGAGACAATAACGGTGTCTGTCGCTTCGATGAAATTCAATATTGCAATGAGGGATATGTACGCAGCTGTTTTTTACTGACGTGGTGCGGGAAATATTGTCATAAGAATGTAGACATGCAGAAAAGGCTATGCTGTGTGAGATGATGTAGAGGAAACGATTGGGCCATTATATAGAGTTCATGCGATGGTTGTAGAATATTGTAACTGCATAGCATACAGAGAACAGAGTAATACCAGCAAGTGTTGGGTCATGGCTATCTGTAGATATGCATTCTCTCAACATGGTGATCTTTGCGGTCGATGGAGGCTCTTTTTGATGCAAGTCTTCAGACCACAAAGATGTTCCCTGATAGAATGTGCTTCGTATCTACAGTGGTTCCTACGCTTGATTATGATTATCGAAAAAAATCGTGTATCAGATCTGATTCTCTTGATAATGACGATTGTCGTGGTTCGACCAGCATGGCTCTTGCGGTCGGATTAAGCAAGGGGGTTTGTGATTGACCCCACTGGTATACAGAGCGTTGTATGACAGAGCTGCATCCATACTATTTGAGTACTGTGATTAAATGGTCGGCATACAGCCCTGGACTATGGTAGGGTCCGGGTATCTCTTGTGGTCACAGCGGTAGTAGTTTCTGCAAGGAGTATAGAGAGTGATGTGTTTGGTTGCGTAACCTCACAGCATTATCTCTTCATATCCCTGGTTCGCCCTGCTATATAGTTGTCATTGGTATATTAGATATTGATAACATCCAGTGTCTTATCAAGATGCAGTTATTCAGGCTCAAGCGTATCTGGTCATGCTCCCCCCTTTCACGGAGCAGTCAATCCACTATCCTGCAACATTCACTCTGTCTGTCCTCTACCTCGCTCAACTTCTCACATAGCTTCTTCATGGAATTGTTTAAAGAATCTGCGCATGTCATACTCAGAGCCAAGATGGCGGAAGACGACGCGATAAGCATTATTGTGGCAACAGTGATATTCCTGGTATGTTGCCAAAGGCTGTTATCTCCGAGAAGCTGCATAAGCGATCGACAGAGCTAAGTTGGAGATTGGCCTAAAGTACTTGTCGGTGGTTACTTATAACCTGTTTATTCATCCACTGAAAGAATTTCCCGGCCCGCGAACGCTAGCCGCCAGCAGGATCCCTGTAGCCTACGCCTCTCTGAAGGGTATCCAGACACATTGGCTCCATAGCCTCCATCTGAGATATGGACCAGTCGTACGCGTGGCTCCTAATGAGCTGAGCTTTATCGACGAACGAGCCTGGAAGGATATATATAGCAGTTCACCCACGGTGCCACAAAGTATGAAGAGAGGGTCTGATTTCTTCAGATATCTTGAAGATGATGACAATCGGCCCTCTATCCTAGCAGCCGATGAGAAAGATCACCCAAGAATTCGGCGAACCTACGCGCCAGCATTTTCACGGCGGAGCCTTATCCCGCCAGCAGCCAATACTGGCCAAGTATGGTGACGCTCTCGTTGAAACTCTTTCCGGCATGGAAGGGCATATCACCAATATACGCGATATGTTCCATTACACGCTTTTCGAAATTGTTGGGCATTTTCAGTACGGTGAGGAAATGGGCGTCTTGCGAACAGGGGCACGTAAATCGTGGGTACACAGCCAGCCCGGATTAATAAAAGCGTCGACTTTACTATCAGCTCTCGCTGACTTCACCAGGATCAATTTTTTGCTCCGGTGGAGCATACCGTGGATGTCAAAATAGCTCCGCAAGGCTTACTTCAAGCCTTCGAATGACCTCATAGACCATCGACTTCAAATCCAAAGCGACGAGCCAGACCTTATCGGTCTTACATTTCGCAACAGTCGCAGCTCAGCTTTGACTGAAAAGGACATTCGTGCCAATGCTCACATCATGATGCTTGGAGGAGCAGAAACAACCCTGGGCCTCATGACATTTTTGACTGCGTGTCTCCTCCAGCACCCCGAGTGCTTTGCGCGTCTCAAAAAGGAGATTCGCACAAATTACCACGATAAGAAGGAGGTCTCTCTGGAATCGGTATCGAAGCTTGCTTACTTGGATGCTTGTATCAAGGAGGCTTTAAGAACGTACCCCCCGATCCCCGGGGCTATACATCGTGTTTCCCCTGCAGGCGGGGCATCCATAGCCGGTCACTGGGTCGCAGGAAACACACGGGTCTATATTCCATTTATGCGGCCACACATTCCCCAACACACTTCTGGAACCCTGACAGATTTATTCCTGATCGATGGCTAGAGGGTGCAGAAGGCCCGTACCAGAAAGATATCAAAGCGGCATGTCATCCCTTTTCGACAGGACCGCGGAGTTGTATCGGCCAAGAGTGAGTTGACATATTACCTATCATACATGAGCATTAGTTGATAAGTGAATAGCATGGCATATGGCATGACAAAGGTAGTATTCTGCAAATTTGCAACAGAGTTCAACTGCGAACTTGCGTCTGATGATACCGGTTCCTGGCTCACAGGTCTTCGTTCATGGGGAACATGGGAGGTGCCGCCACTCATGGTGCGGGTATCTAGGGTGGAAAAGGCCAGCATCTGACTATGATATGATGCCGTTGTAAGGACGCTTATGAGAAGTGGCTAGTCATGATGATAGTGATCATGCAGTGATGACATTTAGTTTTGATAATTTGATGTAACTTAGGTGTGTAGATTCACATTCGGAAAGACTTTATACGGCTCTACCTCCGCGGCCTATTTTACAGTCGGCTCCTATCCGGCGGTGCAGAGCCCAACTGTCAGTGCATATCCCTACACTCACTGTATCTCCGGGAGAGCAGATGCGACAAACGGACACTGTTTAACTTATTCCGGGATAACATTCAGACTGTCCACCGAAATTTCCCAAGCTACAAAATACGTATGCCTTCAGGTTCGCTTTCCGAGATACCCTCGGGTGCTACTGAAGCGTCGAGTTCTCGAAAAATTGTGCAATGAAGATCATCGACCCCAAAGCGGACAACGTCTGTACATCTTTTTCCGGTTCTCCGACCTTTCACCAGAATGATTTAGGCTTAGGTCCTCATCCTTGTCATAGGTCAAGGGGACACACTGTTGCAATATAACCCCGATAATCTAAGTGTAAGATGGTATTCCAGCCGTATTAGCTCAATAGACTAACTCTGACATTCCTTGTGAGAAATTTGCTCCGTCTTTTCCCCAAATAACGATCGTCGATCTTCCGTAAGTCCCCGAAGTTTCCAAGAAAGTTCCAGGACCGAATCGGTTACCGATGCATATCGGGACAGTCACTGTAGGAATCTACCAGACCATGAACCGATGTCTTTAAGTCCGTGGCTTAATCGCCGCACATGAAGCATCTTCCTCTCTATCACCAGTATGGCCCGCATCGTAATGATCTACAGAACAGCTACAGATCACGTACCTCTTCAGTCATTTACGCTATTTATTATCAGATAATCGGCGAGCTCTTACATTGAAATACTTGAGCATGATGAGTATTGTACTATATAATCCCACTAGGTCTACAGATCAACCCCAGATAGTGCAGGGCATTCAACGTCAACATCTGGTCTGTTAGACCCAATCTCGGTTCAACGTTGCCGATGAATACTATGTCCACGGCGGCTAATCAGCTCGCAGATCCGAAGCCAAGCGATTCACTGCAAACTTGCATCGCTCTGCCTTCCCCATAGGGCTCCGCTACCCAAGCCAATACTGTAAAGAACTACTAATAGTTAGCTATTCCCAAACAGAGTACTATTTTGAGAAGCAAAATGATTTACCGAGTTTAGGATATGTTGTCGATAGTATATATGCATATAGGTATTGATATATGGGTATGGGTATGGGCATGTATGTTGGTAATGATAATGATGATGAGTATTCGTAGATTTTTATTCTATGGCTTATGGTGTTTAGTATGTCTCTGACTAAGTTTTATGTCACTATACGTACCTGCTTTTCTACATTATCGTAGATTTCCTGTTGTAGACATCGCCGCTTTACTGAGGGCGCTCAGGGGCTTGCTCAGTGAGTAATTTACATCACGACTCACCGAAATCAAAGCGCGGGTCACTGGACAATCTGTTGCGCAGATTATATTGCTGCCATCGCAAAGATCGACCAAAAATGTCAATTCGAAGCCGCATGCCAGCTTCTCCGAACCCACATGCAGCGTCAGAGCATAGCAGATCTTTACTTTGCTTCCTGCGACCTAATCAATTCTCTCCAGACCCGGATCAAGGTGTATTTCACTGAGGTAGGAGTCACGTTTACAAAATTTACCAAACGCTGGACTCTGAGTGGTATGGTTACCGACCAAGAGACCCTGGAGGGGTTGCAGATGCTCCGCGAGCTGTGGAAGGACTTATGCATCGTTAAAGGCAAGCGGTCTCTCCCCGACAGACCGACTCAGCCTGGAGATCCAGAAACACGTATTCCATGTCTGCTAAACTATGAGATGAGTCCGGGGAAACCTTACCCCAAGCCGAAGTTATACTACCCTTCCACGGGGATCCGTAAATGAGAATCGCCAACGCGTTGACTGCCTTCTTTCAGCGTCATGGTATGCAAAATCAGTCTGCTGCCTACACCAATAATCTCAAGTCCTACTAGTAAGTAATGTTGCGGCTTGCTACATTTCCTCTTTCCCCTGTTTCTCGTCCTTCGGTACCCTTCGGCTGACCTATAGCCCAGTCCTGGCAAGGAATTGGACGTTGCCATGGACCATCAGGCCTGGCTTTCATTTTCTTATACGAAGAAAACGGGACCTTATCTCACCATGTATTACCATTAGGACTTGCCAGAGGAGGCGGAGGACTCGTAATCCTCAAGACTGTGTGTCTGAGGAGCTTGTTGATCGGTTACTATGACTGTCACCGCACCACAGAAAGGATTGGCCGTGTACGTTGTTGTCGGTGCCCGCATGTAGTTACAGAAACCCCCGGGGACGTAAGGGACTGTGTCGGAAGCCCGGTGTCTTGTGAATCCAACAGTTTCCTTTGTATTCTGCCGCCCCTCCCCCGGACCTCTTCCTTCGCGCAAGTGAGCAAAGGGGCAAATATATCACTGCAATTTGGGTCCCCGTTCGATGTTCGCTGGGACTGCAGAACATTGTGAATCAGGTCCGATAGAACGGCTGTTCCGTAGGCACTGTCCAGGATGGTGGAAATATGGTTTGCAGGATCCGGCGACGCCTGCAAGGTCGATATTCTTTCCTGCAAGGAGGACGAAAATATTTTCCGTAGCTTAGTTTGCGGAAATTATAGTCCGTCTTGATGAAGATCTGAAAAGTGGCCTTCCCGAGTCATGAAGTCTATTCTTAGCGGACAGGAAACCGTGAACATAGGTAAAAAAGGACCCTACAATCCGATGACACGTATGGCTTATCTTTCTTTCTGAGTTCTGTTTGTCTATTAGTACTTGATACAAAGTATGGGGATCTTAAGACCCCAAGGTTGTCACTCTATATAGTGGGATACCATTACGTCCCTTACGCTTATCTAAAGCACAGCTCCCTGTGCCCTGTACACCACCAGTCCGCACTAAACCGTATGACACGGCTACAACTAAAACTTACCATGAATTATGCTCAGGCAGCCTCACCGTACATGATGCATCTCACCGCAAGGGAGCTAGTCTAGTACTTTACCTTGCATCGTGCTCACACAACCTCGCCGTACATGGGACATGTCATGTCGCTACAAGGGAGCTGAACCACATGCAATGAATGTAACCGAGACTTACCCTGCATCGTGCTTGGAAGATCTCACCATACACGAGAGATTTTATTCCGCCGAAAAGCTTCCACATTCCATGAGGCAAAGGCCATGTGAGCTTGTATCCACGGGCAGGCCAAGCGGTCCCCTTCCCGAATGTGAGAACGTCAAAATGTGGGTTACACACGCACACTCAACATCCCCATAGCAGAGGAGGAGTAAGAAAAAAAAAAAAAAAAAAAAAAAAAAAACGCACCAAGCCTGTTAACCTTTGCCGAGTGGGCGTAGAAGATGCTTACGCATATTTGACTCCAGGAATGTGGGAAGGAACCATCGGGAATTTTTTCAAGCAGGGAGCCATGCAGTACGCAAGGGAATCTATTACAGAAACATGAGTATCCGAATGGACAACATGTACTAAGATATTAGAGAAAGTGCCCCTACAAGCTGCACTATCCAAACCAGGAATGATCATGCTTGGGCAGCATGTATATCGCATCATTAATGATGATCGCAATTCCAAATAGCCACAATCCTGTACGGAGAGCTGTAGCCAAGGTTGTGAAAATGACCAACAAGCAAGGACTAGGCAGGCTGAACTCATATCATTTCCAAGTACGGACGCCGCATGAGCTAGCCCCGTAGGGACATATTCAATTGATTTCATGTTTAGTGCTCCGAGTATAAGCTTAACAAGCCCTGTCACACCATGGCCCGATGAATCCTGAACTTACGGCTACTGAGGAAATGTCTATTAACAAGTTAAGGCCGGGTCACGGTGCTATGTCCAACAAAATATCCCATCAAAGGGAGACGGACCAGCCATCAGATATCGCAACCCCGGATACTACATCTCAGAATGGCGAATATGAAGATTCTCACCAACAGGTAAAACCCTCCTCAGATTCGGATTGGCAGTCGAGGCATTGCCCTGGGAGGTCAATGGCAAGAGGAGATATTAGCGATGAGGACATCCGACTTCTGTACGAATGGAACAGTCAGATCAAGATACCCGGAGTCCATACATGTATCCATACTCTCATTCAGCAACAATGCGCTAAACGGCCCGCATCCGAGGCAGTCTGTGCGTGGGACGGTACTTTGTCTTACTCCGAGTTGAACCAACTATCCAATGGGTTGGCGAAAGAACTCCAGACCGCGGGAATCCAGCCAGAGATGGTGGTGCCGGTCTGTTACGAGAAATCTCGATGGACGATCGTCGCTATTCTGGCAGTACTGAAAGCTGGCGGAGCGTTTGTACTTTTGGATCCATCCTATCCTGAAGCGCGTCTGGCCGACATATATGCTGACGTCGAGGCCCAAATCATCATCTCCTCGCCTTCAAACCAGAACCTCAGCACACGACTGGGCCAGAACGCACATACCTTGGTCGTTACAGACAGCAAGATCTCTTCCCTTTGTTCGACGGACTTTATTGTCACCGGTCCATGCATCCCGGAGAACGCAGCATACATCGCATACACTTCTGGGTCTACAGGCAAACCCAAGGGAATCGTGGTAGAGCACCGATCCTTCTTAGCAAGCGTCCTGGCGCACAGCGAGGCCCAGAACGTCAACGTCGATAGTCGCGTGATGCAATTCGCCTCGTACGGATTTGACATCAGTATCCAAGAGATGCTGGCTCCCCTGATTGTGGGTGGCTGTGTGTGCGTGCCATCGGAATCACAGCGCCTCGATCATCTTGCCCCCGCCATCCGACAGCTGAGGGCGAATTGGCTGGAATTGACCCCTTCAGTGGCTAAATCGCTCGCGCCAGAAGCCGTCCCGAATGTGAAGACTCTCGTTCTTGGTGGAGAATCCCTGCATCTGGATGATGTGTCCACGTGGGCCCAGCATG